AGGTGTTCGAACTGACACCCGGCTCTTGGAGCTCCGCCTTAAGGTGACTCTATGTGATCTAAGGACAAGATTTGCCACTACGTTGCTCTGATATGCGGTTTGGATCTTTGAGAAGTAATAATTATCGTTAAGTTGATACAAGAAACTGATCCATAACGTGTAGTGTCATTAATGTAAAGTAGAATGAAATCAGATTTGTTAAGTTTCACTGTACATTTATACCTGTAACTGTGATAACGGACGTCGCCCATTAACTCAATGTTTAAGAGAGAGACAGTGCTATATTGCCTCTTACACATTGAGTCAATGGAAGACGTTCATTAGCGTAGTTTCACGTATAAATCTACAATGATTCTACGAATTTGATGTCTTTCTACCCAGTATTAATGTTGTTACGCGTTATGGATCAGTTTCTTACATTATGTCGTACATTACGATAATTATTGGTCCTCAAAGACGTAAACCGTGAAACAGCGCAGCGTGGTGGCGGATCACGTCCCTAGACTACATAGAATCACCTTCAGAAACATACGGGCAACTAAACCGAAGATTATTCAGAGAAATTCCGACAAGTCGCTCTGCTCACCAACTCACACCGACGAAATGATCATCCACAGGGTGTGCAGAGGTCAAATAACAGTTGTAAATATCACGATATCTTTATGAATTTGGTAGCAACTCACTTGTTTTTGTTTGGTCCCGAGCTATATGTAGAATTTTCTCATTTATAGAATGGCCATTTCGGACTCAATACTCCATCTTCAGGTACATAATAATGTTCACGAATGTTTTTCAACAAAATTATGAGCCTTTTTAAGTAACAATCACAGAAATAACTTCAAACTAATTTAAAGGGGGGGGGGGTTCGGACCGCCAGAAACGTCAATTCAAAGGTCCTACGATTTTCCCGCGAAATGAGTCAATTTTACCCAACTTTGCCTCATCATTACCGAGGTTCGTTGAAAATTAGTCCAACATTGCGTTTTCAAGTCCCCAAATCTCCGGCAAAGTTAAAAAAAACAACGAAATCTAAGGTGATTAATTTTGACAAGTTTAAATTCCGTTTTTTTTTTAACTTTGCCGGAGATTAGGGGACTTGAAAACGCTATGTTGGATTAATTTTGAACTTACCGCGGTAATTTTGAGGCAAAGTTAGGTAAAATTGGCTCATTTCGCGAGAAATTCGTATGACCTTTGAACTGACGTTTTTGGGGGTTCGAACCCCTCCCCCCCTTTAAATTAGTTTGAAATTATTTCTGTGATTTTTACTTAAAAGAGCTTATAATTTTGTAAATTTTCCCCTTTTCTGTCTTTTCTCTATGATAATTTGAGGCGGAGTTATGATTTTTTGAAAATAGGTCAAATTTGACCCTTGACCTGTCATAACTCGGTCAGAAATTAAGATATTGATCTGCGGTTGCGCCAAAATTCTTAGTTTTTATCGATCTTTCCAATGATGTATGACAAGATAGGGGTTACCGTTTGTAAAAAAATTGGAGGGCCCCCGCCCCCACTGAGGGAGGGGCAAAAATTTTAACCCCCTTAAAAGATAGTCCCCCATGAGATAGAAACATTCCCAAGTTCCGTTTTTCAATCTACAACCGTTCATAAGTTAGCGGGGGGGGGGCGGACTTTTGGGCACCCTGTATAGCTCGAGAGTAAACAAAAACAAGTGAGTTGCTACCAAATTCATCATGTCACTCGACAAAATGTCATAAAACCAAAACCTCATCACGATATCATTAAACCTCTGTTTGCCGCATCAACTCCGAAATCCACCGGAAAGTTACCGCGGAGCTACGGTGGATAATCGAAGAATGAAGAAAGGCTTCGGTGTGAACGTTCATCGCGCGAAACGGAAACTCATCCATTTAGACGATACGGACGAACTCGTCCAATGTCATGTTCTTTTTGTTCTTTGTACTTTCGAAGCAAACCGGTCACACCGATCACGATCGTGAAATCCAGAGTGTCGGAGAAGTGCTTCGACGGGTTCGGCATATCGAGACTCAGTTACGGTTACCGTTCAAAACTAGATTCCAAAGATGACTGTTTCTTATTGGATTCGGACGGGTATTTTCTGGTATCAAACAAACGGATGCGTCAAGTGGGAGATCCCGAAAGCGATGAAAATGCAGTGAACAGACAATAGTCGGAATCCTTGAAATCGATTCGACGCTACTTGGAGCTTGTTCACCAACTTCAAAAATCGCAGTCATCTCACCAAGAAAGTAGCATCGAAACAGAACTTAAATTGAGAGAGTAGACGATGATGATATAACGTCGACCGAGAAACGTGGGATCGTTGAAGAGTTTCTTAAACCTGCGTGGTGAAACTATGCGTAGTTAAAAGTACGGATTCTCAGATTGTACGATTTGATGCAAGCCGACCTCGCCAAGATGCAGCCGTAAGTCTCAGTCAACAGGGGACTCAGATATCTCCTCACCGTCATCGACGCGTGCTTAAAAAAGGTGTGGGCCGAACGGTTCAAATCGAAATCGGCCACGGCTGTCACTGCTGCTGTGCAACGCGTGCTCAAAGCCGTCAGAAATTCACCGAAACATATACTAGTTGACATGGGATTGGAATTCTACAACTTCAAATGTCGAGCGTTGATAAAGCGACACAAGATCAACAAGTACAGCTCGTAAACGATCACCAAAGACTCCATCTTCGAGCGATTCAACAGAACTCTCAAAACGAAGAGGTCGAAAGAGCTCTGAGTGTAAGGACCGCTCAAGTGGTTATAGTCTCCAAAGTCATGCGCGAGTACAATGGGAACGTTCATCGCACCGTAGGAGTACAACCTATCGACGTCACCGACAAGGCGCACAGATAATCCTACAACGGTTTCGTATACCGCCTTTGAGAAAAATACGAACGAAGCCGCTGCTCGGACGAACACTACACACGTCCGGATTTCGCGTCTCTAGATCATGTTGAAGAAAAGATGCACTCCGAACTTGAGCACGGAACTTAACAAGATTGTCAACGTCAATACGACCGTTCCGATCACCTACGACCTGAAAGACTTGCATGATAAGACTATCATACCGAAATTCTACCGCGAAGAACCCCAACTTACCAACTACTTACAAGGATACGGTTCTCGTGGAGAAAGCTCTGCGTCGCAAGAAAAACTAAGCCCTCGTCAAGCGGTTGGGTCTAGACACGAGTCGCAACAGTTAGATCAACAGCGAGGATTTCGTTTAACTGTTTAAGTAGTACTTATTAGAGTACCTGTATAGTGAGAGTTTAGAGTACCTATATTGAGAGAGTATGGCCACTGGGCCCCATGGAGAGGCTTAGGACCCAAAAATGGCGGTGCTTTGTTTTGGTTTTTGTGGATGGGAGGGGGGTCATTGCCAACTTTTGACGGTTATCACCAACCGCACTTGCTGCCAACCTTACTACATATAAGATCATTTTTCTCAAAAATTGCACACGATTAGCCTTAAAAATATGTAAAGAAGTCGCAATAGTGCATTTAAGTAAATTTCTCGTTACGATAAGCAAAGAAAACTACATTTTGAGTCATTTTGCATTACATTCATTTAAGGCGTCCGCCATTTTTCGGTCCTAAGGGCTCCATTCAGCCTAAGATGGCTGAGCCAATCAGAGGTGGTAACACCAGTAGCCATACTCTCTCAATAAAGGTACTCTAGTGAGAGTATGGACGGATGTGAAACTCCGAAAATCCATCAGGCCTTCACCGATGCGTCCGCGAATAAAGTTAGGGCCCAGAAATTCACCCAACCTATGAATTTCAATTATCCAGAGCGATTTACTAATATTATTGTTACGAACCGTCGTTTATAAACCACGTATTTGACTCAGTTTTTGCATATATTTACTCATTTTAGCGGAAGAACGCTCATTTCTGTTAATTCTTGGCCATCTTGGTTATAATTGGAATATGCGAACTCTTGCAGACGAGCAGTGAAATTTTGTGTATTAGAAGTTGGTTAGAAGGATGGCTGCACTTTTGGGCCCTAAGACCTCCATGTAGTGATCTGTCCATATTCCCACTATACAGGTACTCTAGTATTTATCTTCTCTGGTCCACGAAGAAGACAGAACATCATGATCGACGTTTCAGGGCCACCTAAGAATTTGAAAATTTAAATAATAAGAAACCCCCTAGGGGGGAGGGTGGGGGACTCTTCAGGCAACATGCTTCTCCGCAATAAATTCCAGTCCGATCCCACATTATCGAAAAATATTCCATGTCTGGAATTCTGGAATCCATACTTCATGCAAAATATTCAAAATACGAAATTCTCGAATCAGCAGACCCTCTACTCTGCCTCTGTTTAGAGACTCACTCTGGCGTAAGTACTTGTTCCGATTTCGGATGATTTTGACAATGGCTTCCAGCTAGGTTACCTAGGTCATTTGACAACAATTTCATGCGATATGACCAACTCATAGCAATAATTAAATTATTATCTATTGTACCATCTGGCAACAGCTGTTTTAAATTACCATTTCCATCCACTATGCAGATAAACGGAACTCTGTCCAAGATGTAGAGTCCTCTCTCTGACGGGTATAATGATACCATGATCTTCTTAAGGACACTTTTACTTTGTCAGCTGGCGGTGGGGTCTGCTTCCGTAGGGTAGCGTTCAGGAGTACGGGAGTACGGGAGTCTTTTCCACCCTCCTCTGTCTCCCACTTGCTTTTGTCATGCTACGCGACGAAAATCGAGGAAGATCACTTTTAATGCTTATTACCTGAACAAAAAAGTACGCAAGACATGCTATGATTTTGCGTGTGTATGATCAATGTTGGAGGGTAAATGCTTTGAGAAATGAAAGGCTTGATATCCCTTACCCCGCTTCCGTTTATGAAGGTTTTTTTACTTAGTCTCTTTTTTATTTTTAAATAAAAAGAGAGCTGCCATCTCCTGTAGGTAGTTGTTTATTCAAAAATAAATAAATAAATAAATAAAATAAAAAGAAATGGCATAAGAGTCTTTGACTTTCCTTTGTTTCAGAGCTTCTGAGAGTGTTGTGACTTCCAAACCAATTGACAGGGATATTAATGTGAATGGACGACGTGGCAGTTTATCCCGCAACAGTGATAGCCTAGGGGCTTCAACCACCAGCTCACAAGCATCCTCAAGTAGATCTTTGAATGGCACCATCAGCAGACCTGATAGTTGCCAGCAAAATTTAGGTGACTCGCCAGTTTTGAGGGAGAGAACTCGAAGAATACCTGATGTAAGCAATCAGTCATCAAATGCAATGGCAGCTTTTCGCGATGCTACTCCATGTCACGCTACTAGTCGCCACCGAGAAAAACAGCTAGAGGCCATCAAAAGAATGGAAGAGAGAATATTGAAAATAAAAAATGATGCATCTAAACCTGTCAAAATCAGTGAATCAGGACCCTCAAAAATGGCCATGTTTGTCCTAGATATTTCAAAAATTGTAACACATAAATATGTTACATGGTTACCTATCAAAACAGTTGCTAGCTGCAGTCCTGCAAATACCATACTGTACTCCTTAACATTGGGGAACGGTGAGTTAATAATGTTTGGAGGCATTCAAAAAGATCCTGCTTCAATAACACAAATACAAAACAACACAGCACAAGCTCCAACCACTAATTCAGTTTCCAACTCTTTGCATTTTATCTCTGCCATAAGAGGTGTTATTTAGATTCTAACTGTGATATTTTTCTTATCTTTAGCTTAAGTAAGTGTGGAAAAACTATTCATCTAAAGATTGCGCTGTCTAGTTCTGCTTATTAGAAGCAGAGTGAGAGGTGGACGTATTTATGCTAAAAGGAACCAAGTATGTGCATAAGGTTGTCATGCAACATACTTCCTTAAAGCATGAACACGTCAATGTGAACACATTCAAATGTGAGACGGTTGGTTCCGATTTTTCCTTCTTTCTTTTTCTGTTAAAGTTTCTTGCGCTTTTAAAATATTCTTGCAAAGCTGCCATCAGCTATGTATGCATAGCCTCTAGAGTTTCCTCTCATTTTTGCTTATGGACGGCTGTAACTCATCATTTTTAAATGGAAATGACTCTCAATGACAAATACAAGGATCATCGGAAATGCAAAGTCCGCAATTTTGTACCTTCCAAACTGAAAGAGCTAAATAATATCGGTGAAGACGTTTATGAAGATTACCCTCAGCTCTTCAAGTCCAAGATTTTGCAAGTGGATCAATAAAGTCGAGAGGAAATTCAATTTTAATGAGACCCAAGCCTAATACACATTGGGAGTGGCATCACATACGCTCTTGACATCCCAGTGCATTGAATACATTTTAATAAAATGGTAACGTACGTACCCACAGCATGTCACTACTCAGTAAAATGCCGCTCAAATCGAGATGCAACCACCATTGGTTATCCACCTGGACAGAGACCAACCAAGGTTGATTGAAAGGAGGTTGGTACATCCAGCCATATTGAAGACGCACTAGTGGGAACTCGATTTGGCGCGCAATTCAAACCGCTTGTTTTGATATGCTGCTTATGGTGTTTCAGAGCACCCGTCTACTATCTTTTTCTCGGAAACGGCCGAGAATTGAGCTTCGGGACATTTTCCAGGGGAAAATCGACCCGAACAAAAGCAATAAAACTATTTTTAGTCTCCCGAAACTCGGGGAGGGGGGGGGTAAAGGGGGAACCCCCTGGTTTTCGCATATTTCTAATAGGAAGGGTATGTATTGACTTCGGATCCAAAGTTTATGGCCAGAAACAAGAACTGTTTGTTTTATGATTTTTTTCCCCGAAACTACATTTTGCGACATCTTCTTCAATCGGACACTGTAGGCATCAAAATTATCCAATTTCCAAAATCTATTAGTCTCCTAAGAGAAGAAATCAATACCTTTTTGTTGATGTGGCACATGACTCCCGTTGACCCAAAATTATGATGTTCACGACCCCCTGAAAATGTTGGGCCTTGGGAGGGCCGTAAGTTGAAAATTTCAAATAGCAAAGGTATGTCTTACTTCAGATTTGGATTCCACGAGAAAAGTTGCGTAAAATTAAGACGGCATATGGCCTATTTGGCCCACCTTTTTTTGCCCCTTCTTTCCTGCAAAAATACACGGCTCCATATGGGGAAATGGGGTCCAAGGATAATTTGGGTAATTTTCATTGAATTTTTTGGGGTCTATGCACAACTGGAAATGTTCGTCTCGAAGCTTAATTCTCGGCCGTTCTCGAAAAAAAGATTAGACGGGCTCTCTGGAGCACCCGCTTTAGAAACAAAGGCAGACATTTCAGTATCAAGCTCTCGTCAATTCCTGAAAAGTTATAAGTATTAAATCTGTATCTTGACAAAAACCATATGACCACCATAGATTTCTAGACATACTTAGTTTTCCTTTAGATATGCTGGAAAGTACATTATGCTTGACTAAATAAGTAAAGCATTTTAAAATATCGTGATAATACTAAAACGCATTCCAAAAAATGTTTCAAATGTGTTCAATTAATATGTATTTTCATATACTGGTACAATAAATTATGTGTGCATAAAAAATTGTTAATATTAGCATCAGTTTGCTTGCGTGCAACTCGCTTCGGACACGTCCATTCAAACTTCGCACCAAACTCGGTACAGGTGAGAACTCGAGTTCTCACCTGTGCGTCATCAACTTGGCGCAGAAATGGGCGATTGTGCTGACCTCCCTTCAATTAACCCTAGAGACCAACCAATATCTTATACCTTGGTAGGAGGATGGTAAATTGGAAGATGGTATTGGACCAACTATCTTTGCCATGGGCCCTCCTTATATTGTGCTAGTAGGTGGCAGCAAAGTTCCTCCTCAGGACAACGATCTAGACACTAAAGATAGGGGGATCCTATGCTACGCCAACGGTGAATAATGTGACTTACTAGGAGCAACCATGAGGTTAGGACGAGGATAGTCGGTTTTTATGACTTCTTATGGGACTGTTGCTAAATACTGACTTACATCAAATTCGCAACCAACTGTTTGAAAATCTATGTCCTGATATGAAACCCAGCTATTCTTCAAGTGAGTTTACGATTAAAATTTCAATGCTAAATCGTTTATCATATTAACTCCTGTGAGATCCCGTGTTTTTGAGGTTATGACGAGGATAGCAATCGGACATTTCATTTCCACTCCCCGCTCGCCTATCGAACGACCGCTCCATGAGTGTTAAGTTTTCTCGTAGGCCACCACCAATCTACAGTTTCTAGATCGTTGCCTCAGGAGCAAATAGTGCTGAAAATTTGTCGCTTCTCAGATTCTCCACTTTGGTTTGGTGTTTCTCTCTTAATTTTTGATTAGCCAATCAGGGAGAAAATCAAATTTTTGCAGCAATTGGCTTTTGCAATTCAGGTTCCTCTTTCAACATAATGTCAGATTGCATTCACGGCAAAAGTACCGTACATTAAAATCGTGCCCCTTCCTACCTTATATGCTGAGCGAACAGTTCAACAATAGGGATGAATATTCAGAGCATAGAATTTAAAAATTTGGTACTTGCACGTAATATTATGAACTTTTTAAAGGAGGCTCATCATAGTGATGCGTTGTATTGGAAAACTCGGTTGATCGGCTTGGAGTCACTTTCCAGACCTATACCAAGTGTAAGTCACGAATTTTTGTTTGAACAAAGTCTTTAGGAACTAATTAATTAATAATGAAAACCTAAATAAATCCTAATGAATGAATCTTTTGAAGCAGTTTGTCATATCCATCGACCGATTTTTGAAAAAACCCTCTGGGATTAGCTTTAAGCCCAATTCACTTTTCATTCAACTCTTCTTCCAGGTTTATGGAATGAGAAATTTGAACGTGTGATACCGACATGAAAACACGACAATTTAATGAAAATTGTAGATGAAGGGTCCTACGACACTTCACTGCGGACATTTCACCGCGCGACACTTCACCGCGAACGCGGTCTCACTGCGGGGGAAAAAAATTAAGATAATTGAAAGAAGAAATGACAGAAGAATTGTCGAATCCACTAATTTTTCCCTCACGCTTTACCAGGCTTAGGACTGGCCAATTCGCATATTATTTTTGTAAACTCAATCAAAATTTGTACATATATTGAGCGTGTTTAAGAAGTTTTGGAAACATTTTTTCCCTGCGTTTCCTTAATGTTATCTGTCTATTGTTGCAAACGCGCGGCGCGGCGATGAATCGGGTCAAAACGCGTAGCAACGGAAAGTGCTTGCCATGGAGGTGCGCTTAACATTGCGCTCATGGATCTAATTATCATCACACAAATATGGTTATAGTATCATTTTAAACGTCAGAGAATGATATTTCCATAAAACACGAGGGGAGGTTTGTTTCCTCACCCGATTGAAAATTATTCGTCAATTTAAATTTTTGAAAGGACTTGATGCAAAAACGGCTTTTTTTTCACCCCCTCTGGAATTCCTTCAAACTTTGTCTATTGAGCACTCATACTTGAGCACTTCTTTACCCAAATTTTCAGACCCTCAAAAAAAAATTTTGTGGAGGGGGGGGTGCGTTAGGGGGGGTGGTGTAAGTCAAAACCCGTGAACTTCGATATCTCTCGAACGAAGAAAGATATCGAGGTCCGGTTTGGACGAAAAATCGTCTAAAATTGCATGCTTAGAGATTCTTAAGATCAAAATCCTGAAATCACATTTTTAAGTTAACATATGTGCTTTTCCCCAGTTTTTGAGTCTAGACAATTTCTTTCAAACAAAGAATACACGAAGATCTCAATTTTTTACTTGAACGAAAACCCAGTTTTTCATATTGTTCGTCTTTTTCCGCATCCTACGACAGGTTCATTAAGCTGAAGAACTAAATGGTTAGAGGCTAGATAGAGGTGCTACAGAGAGTCAGGAACAACATGTCAGTGTTTCATCAATATAAAAAAATGGCTTTTTTTAATCGGCCCAAACGTGAAAAAATAAGGGGTCTTTTTTGAGTGTTCCAGCGCTTCGGAGGCGATAACTCGAGCTGAAGTTAACATAACCCTATGATGTTTTACATTTTCTGAAAGCTCTCGTCACGCTGAATACGCTCGTTTAAACCGCGTTTTCCAAAACTCCTTGGTTTTCGAGTAATAAATTCGCGAAAATTTTGCCAGTTTTTAACTTTGACTCCCCGCCGCGTCTCCCCCAAATTTTTGGGGGGCTTGAAACTTTGGGAAAAGATGGGGCATTGTTAGGTGAATGAATAGGGCAAGTCTCAAAGATATCCGCCTGGAGCCCCAAATGGCCAGTTTTGCACGTAGTCCTTTCACCGTGAATCCAAAAATGTAAACTATAATAACATTTGTGGAATAATAAAAAAAATTGAATTCTTGCTGTTTTAAATTTTGAGGATCAGATTAAGGTAGGCGAGAGACAATAGGGCAGAATCTCGGTATCGAGGGTTGCTAACAGGCAAAAGGGCGGAAGATAACCCATGTCATCGTGCCGCTTCGACAGGTTTATGGCTCACAGGTTGCGGCCTTCATCCTCCGACTGAGTCCGAGTTTGACCTTGGGCCTTGGGTGCAAGCCGAGAACTCAACGGCAACCCTGGGGAACTTATGGTCGGAGGGGGGTGGTTTAGCTTTCAGAACGTCTCAGGCGAAAGAGGCTGAAAAATTTGGAAGTTTGACAATTTTGCGAGCATCTGGAAGTCTAGAGCTTTTACCGGAATCAAGCGGCGTCGAAATCAGTCGGGTAGAACTCCAGAAATAAGCGTCACAAAGAAACCCCAACGATTTTATTCATATAGATTACGCTAAAAGCCATAAAACAAGTACAATATGTATGCAGGTCTAAATATTTCTAGTGTAAAAATCTAGGTATACACTTCCCACTTCTTCATAGAATGGACCTTTATTTATGTAGGAATTTGATACAAAACCCACACGAGAAAATGAGGGGGGAAAGTAGACACTGCAAAATTTCTTTGAGTAGCCGATTACTTCAAATACAAAACTGTGGCCCTATTCTCCTTGTAAATCATCAGGTGGGGTGGGAAAGAATATTTTATGGGTGCAGTAAAAGAAGCATGCAACTGCACAAGACCCTTTTCAGCACGTGATCAGTTCTTAATTTACCAGATCAACTGTCTCTTTGCGTTCTCAAAAAAAGAAATGTAAGAGGGAAGTGAGCCTGGGGGTAGAGGGTGGGGGACTTGGGGGGGGGGGGTCAAACTTTGAAGTTCACGACAATGACTGATGCATCTATACAGGAAATCAAAATTCGTAAGTCATATCCTCCATGAACGCCACAACCTTACTCCTATATGCGTAGTAATCATTCCTCTTCATTGTTTCTGAAAATGAATAACGAGCGTTACGTTTTCTCCGTTCATCTGTTCAGTTACATTCAAAAATAGAATGGTTTTCCTCACAGTGAAGCTTTGTCTGTGTATTTTATGATGGAAATATTCAGAAATTCAAGTTAAACACGCATGCTTCCTGAAATGTTTCTGATTCTAATCCTATCTGATTTCAGAGAAGAATTATTTATTTGTGAAGGTGATGTGATAAACTACACCAGACTGCCGAAATACTGATAATTGAAAGTCAAAAAACTTTGTTAATCAAAAATTTTTTGAAACGCGCCTGAACAGTCTTTACATCGCCCCCTGCCAGTCTTAGAATTTAAAGTAAATTCATACAATTAAATTTTTTTCACAGAGGAGTCGTTCCCAAGCCCAAGGAGGTACCTTGATGGAAAGTGGAAGAGCACAGACGGATTAATATAACGGTTAACTATCTAACTAGGACCAATAGTGTACAGTATTCAGACTTTATCCTACGTTTTTATGGTCAATTCAGAAAGCTTCATTTTCAAAGTATTTACCACATGTTAGGAGACATGAAAATTGTTCACGGGGGTAGTGCGAAGCAGCAAATATGCCATTCATTATTCGGCCAGCTCCTGCTACTCGTTAGGGACAAAGTCGGACTTTGGGGTAACTTAGTCCATAATGTGTTAATTTTCTTCCTGACATGCGACCATCAGCGAATAGCAAGACTAGATTTTCTTTTGGTGGAAAAAAGAGTGAACACATATTCAATCACTATAATACTCTGAAAATGAAAGTTCCTGATTGAATCTGAAGGGACATATTGTCAACTTATCGTCACTTCTTTTGATACTTGGAAAAGAAAGTGGTTGAGTTAAGCTGCACATTTACTCACTAGTAGGATGATATTTTCAGTTTCCATCGCTGAATACGGGTGGGATTTACTTGAAAATTCATACAACGCATGCACAGGGCCGGATTTAGCTTTTTGCCGCCCCTGGGCAAGCTACATTTTGCCGCCCCTGGGTCTACAATATTTCGCCACTACATTGTCAACAGTATCCCTCCTTCCCCGCACTCCCAACTTCCCACGCCATCAGTCTCATCTCGTGCGCCGCGTGGGCGCGTGCGCGTAACTACTTCAAAATGTGCCACGAATATACAGGGTGAGCGAAAAGTCCCCGACCCCCCCCCTCTAACTTTTGAACGAATTGAGCTAAGGAAATGAAACTTTGGGAATGTTCCTATCTCAAAGGGGACCATCTTTTGAGGGGGTCAAAATTTTGATCCCCCCCTCAGGGGGGGACAGGGGCCCCCCAACTTTTTTTTTTCAAATAGCAACCCCTATCTTGTGATACCTCATTCGAAAGAGCATAAAAAACTAATACGTTTGGCGCAAACCGCAGATCAATATCTCAATTTATGACCGAGTTATGATAGGTCAAAGGTCAAATTTGACCTATTTTCAAAAAATCATAACTCCGGTTCAAATTATCGTAAAGAAAAAAATAAAACGGAAAAATTTACCAAATTGTGTTCGCTTTTACGTAAAAATTGCAGAAATCACTTCGATTTAATTTTAAGGGGGGGCTCGGACCCCCAAATACGTCAATTCAAAGGTCATTCAATTTTCCTGCGAAATAAGCCAATTTCCTCTAGATTTGCCTCCACATTATCTCAGTAAGGTCAAAATCAGTTCAACATTACGTTGGCAAGTCCCCAAATTTCGAGAAAAGTTAAAAAAACGGAATTTAAACGGTCAAATTTAATCACCTTAAATTTTGTTTTTTTAACTTTTCCCGAATTTTGGGGACTTGCCAACGCAATGTTGAACTGATTTTGACCTTACTGAGATAATGTGGAGGCAAATCTAGAGGAAATTGGCTTATTTCGCAGGAAAATTGAATGACCTTTGAATTGACGTATTTGGGGGTCCGAGCCCCCCTTAAAATTACAGCGAAGTGATTTCTGCAATTTTTACTTAAAAGCGGACACAATTTGGTAAATTTTCCCGTTTTATTTTTTTCTTTACGATAATTTGAACCGGAGTTATGATTTTTTGACAATAGGTCAAATTTGACCTTTGACCTATCATAACTCGGTCAAAAATTGATATATTGATCTGCGGTTTGCGCCAAACTTCTTAGTTTTTGATGCTCTTTCGAATGAGGTATCACAAGATAGGGGTTACTATTTGAAAAAAAAAAGTTGGGGGGCCCCTGTCCCCCCCCTGAGGGGGGGACCAAAATTTTGACCCCCTCAAAAGATGGTCCCCTTTGAGATAGGAACATTCCCAAAGTTTCATTTCCTTAGCTCAATTCGTTCAAAAGTTAGAGGGGGGGGGTCGGGGACTTTTCGCTCACCCTGTATGAAATGGAATGGATGGATGAGGCAAAAATACAACGTGGAGACAAAGTTGAAGCTAGTGTAGCTCAATG